CCTGCTGAGATTTACAGGAAAGCTAACATCAAGGGACATAGTATTTCTTGAATATGACTGAGAAAGTACTCTATTGAAACTACCCTAGGAAGGAGACTAAGTGCATTCAGCAAATAAGACAAAATTCTCTATCTTCTCGTGTCTCTTCTTACTGCCTCAATATGCAGTGTCAAAACAAACAAACCAACCCAAAAAACCCCACTACCCATAATCCTGCAAAATCTACTGCCAGTAATTGAGTTTATGCTTGCATTAGGTTTTAGCTTCTAATTTTCCCATATGCAAAATACTGATACTTACCCTGTTACTAGATTATTTCAGTAATTCCATCTTTAGCAGAGACAAGCTATTTGCTTATTAAATAGCTAAATGCAATTCAATGCATATTCTTTCTTAAAATGTGGCAACCAGTCTTTTGGCCAGTCAAGTCAAGGTGCTGTCAGCCACAGATCATAGAAAGAGAGCTTTCCCTCTAAAAAGCAATACAGAAACAACAGCAAAGAATTTTAAAAAAACAACAAACCATCCTGTTCTTGTAATTATATTCAGGGTAACTGAACCATGTGAACAGATTCCAAATGTATGTATAATTTTCTGGTTTCTGACTGCATAAATTCTTTATTCTGTCCTTAGCCATCAAAATTGTTCACGGTATAAAGAATTTATTTTCTTCCATTGAATACCACTTTCACTTAGTTCTTTTCTTTCTTGCAGAAATTAGTCAAAGATACAAGCCATTTTACTATCAAAATCTAGGAAAAAATATTGAAGATGATCTGAAAAAGTTAAAAGTAAGTAACTTTCTAAGCATTTAAAGTAGCAGTTCCCCACATCCCTCTCCCCAACCCCAATTATGACCAGATTCTGCCACACTGTGACTGACCCAATTTCCTTCTGTGATAAAATGTTTTTTTGAATGAAGGGAGAGCAGTGCCTGTCATTTATTGCAACACTGTCTCCCAAAATATTCTTGTATCCAAGTTTGGATGTTACTGTCTGGAGGGGCAGACAGAAAGAAGTTAGATGGTGAATCTCAGAGGATAGCAGTTAATAAGTCCTACTTCACCTGGAAGGCCAGTAACAACTGCAGTTGTGCAGGGATCTACCATACTGGGACCTTCCCTGGTTTACTCCTTTATCAGTAACCTCAGGGAGATGATGGAGCCTACTCTTATAAGATGTGCAGGTGACACCAAACTAGGAGGACCAGTCAATACAGTCACAAGGACAAGTCTGCTAGCTAGAGGAATGGGGTGACAGAAACCTTGTGAAGATCAAAAGGACAAATGCAGTGTGCTGCACCTGGAATAACCCTTGACTTCAGTGCTGGCTGGGGCCTGCTTGGCTGGGAGTAGCACTGCTGAGAAGGACCTCAGTGGTGTTGAGCAGTGACTTGGGCACCAGTCACAGCCTGCCTGGCCACCAAGAACGCCAGCAGTATCCCAGGCTGTACCAACAGTGTCAGGGGCAGCAGATCTGCTCAGCACTTGTTAGTCCTGCCACATAAGATGGATCTGAGGGACTGGGACTGTTTCAACCAAGACATGTAGTGGCTTTGGGGAGACATAAATAGCAGCTTGCCCCTACCTGTGAGGAGTTTATTGAGAAAACAGCCAAGCTTGTCACAGCAGTGCATAGTAGGAAGACAAAAGACAGCAGACATAAACTGAAACAAGAGGGATTCAAATTGAGTGCAAGAGAAAAAAAACTTTTCCCCATGAGGGCAGCCAAGCAGTGAAGCAAGTTACCTAAGGAGGTTGTCCAGTCACCATCATTTGAGGTTTTCAACATTCAGCTCCACAATGCTCTCAGCTACCAACTCTGATCCCATAGGTGACCCTATTTTGAGCAGGAGGTGAAACTGAGGTCCCCCAAGGTCTATTTCTACCTGAGTAACACTCTTGTTCTACGACAATACTTTACAAAGAGCTCATGATATATCAGTTAAGTCTCACTCATGAAATAAAATGTTATTCCCAGAGATTCAAAAGTGGCAAAATTTGATTTAGAGTAAGTATAAAAAAACTTTGTTAATTCTTGATAATTTTTGTCCTGCAATGTCTAATGAATCCCAGCCTGCTTGAGGCCATGAAGCAATACTGCAGTAATTACAACAGGGAAAATTTGAAATCAGGTATTTTTTCCTGAATGCCCAAGCTGTTTTCTCTTACTTTTCTGGCTGTAGGTTTATAAATTATAAAAATAATTCTTTCCTGACTGAAAAAAAGAGAATGAGAATTTCTTGAACAATTGAGCTGATTATGGAACCTTTTTATCACAGATTTTATGTATGCGCTTACTTCAGTATTACTGACAGCTACTGGTGAGAACTCCTGCTATTGGGAGCTTAATCTTTGCAGTCAAGTAAAGCTCAGAAGAGTACATACCCAGTTATTTTAACTAAGAAAAAGAACTTCCTTTGCAAAACTTTTCATTTACAGTTTTGTTTAAAGTTCTTACTTCTGTCGGCAAGTCTACAATTGTGGAAATGAAAGTTTAGAGAACATGTGATGTTTATGAAACACCAGTGACTGTTGAAAAAACCAATGGAGTTTTGAAACTGATGCAACAAATTTCCTGGACTGATTTGACCAAACTAGCTCACACTGTGCAGTATATATATATATCTAGTTAATGATAGCAGCCCCAAATCAGGATCATGGCCAGTTATACTATCTACATTAGCTCTCTGCATATATGCCTCTCGGATCATAGAATCAGTGTCATTAAGGTTGGAAAAGACCTTCAAGATCATCGAGTCCAACCGTGCACCCTACAACCCCTAACCACTAAACCATCTCCTGAAACACCTTGTCCATCTGTTTTTTGAACCCCTTCAGGGACAGCACCTTCACCACCTCCCTGTTCCAATGCCTCACCACTCTTTCAGTGAATAAATTTTTCCTAATATCCAATCTGAACCTCCCCTGGCAGAACATGACCCCATTTCCTCTTGTGCTGTCACTGATCAGGGAGAAGAGGCCAACACCTGCAGCACTACAGCCTCCTTTCAGATAGTTGTAGGGAGCAATGAGGTCTCCCCTGAGCCTCCTCGTCACCAGGCTGAACAGTCCCAGCTCTCTCAGCCTCTCCTCAAAATGACAGGGCCCAAAGGACTATTTAGAAAATGGGCCATGAGTCTGTTACTTTCTCAGAAAGGAAAGCATCCATTCAGATCAGGCACGGAATATGAATATGGCATCTAAGGGAAGTCAGCATGGTGAACTACTATTACAGCTTCAGTAGCAACCTGAGTTAGAGGATTTGGGCATAGCCTTTCCACACACACTCCCCTCCTCTGCCCCATAGCAATCGTGGAAGCAGAGTCCACAGCCTTCTAACTAAAAAGCCCACAGAATCAGAGGCTGGATGAGGTTGAAAGGGACCTTTGGAAGGTCATCTCCTCCAACTCCTCTGCTCAGGCAGTTCAGTTACTCAAGTAAAATCTAAGGACCTAAGGTTGTAATGCACTTTAGAATGTCATCTTTTGCTTCCAGAAGGAAGCAGATTTTTTTTGAAAGAGATAGTAGTTGATTTTTGATCTGTGAAAGTCTCTAGAAGTGTATGGGATCTCTTCCCACAGATTGATGGAATCTGTTCATCCAGGTCACTGTGAAGCTGGGCTGTTTCCTATTCTGTGAGTACTCACTTTGGTTAAGCATTTGCCTGTAACTTGATCATTTGTTCTTACATACAGAAAATGTGGCCTGAGTCAAATGAACTGTTGAATAGGATGCAATCCCTTCAAATAGATGCTGTAGCAGGAGATACCAGTAATGGTCAAGTAGGTAAGTCACTTACTAGCACATCATTATTCTGTGTATTCTGCCAAAGGTGAAGTTGTGTACATATACAAAGCAAGTAATCTTACCATTAAGGGTTTATTATGAAGAGACTCAATTATTCAGTGCTTCAGAGAGAATTGTAATCACTGCAAAGATTAAATTTTCACCCAGGCTCCCCAAAAGTCATGCTTACTGTTTTGAATTTTCTGCAATCTGCAGTTTGAACCCACTTCATTTTACACTCTCTGCTTTCCTCTCCACTCCGAAAATTTTGTTTAACATTAGAGTTTTCAATGGCCACTTCGATAATTACTTTTCATACTTGATCTTTCTTCCCACCCTTTTAGTTATGTCAACTGCTTGGTCTGTAGGCTTTAATCTCTTCCCAATCAAGTCTTTCTTATGAATGCTCTGAACACACCCAGGGTGTGTGATTACAGTGTCTTCCTTTGGTTATGATCTTGGCCTCTGTGGAATCTGACGAGCAATAATAGATTAATTTTCTGACCTTTTTCTCATATTTTCTGTCAAGTCTTGGATGAGCTGTATGTTTCATGGTTTTACAGAGCTGTCTCACTAATATATGATGATACAGTTACACTTTTATCTTAGTGTATCTGAAATTCTTTTACAAAAGTATTGTAATGACAAAGGATATAGGATTGTTTTGGCAACAGTGGTCAACAAGCAACAGTATCTAATTAAGCAGAAATAAAATTGTGTTGTTTGCACACACTATTTGAAAGGCATTAAATGTGTAATATTAAACTGTAATATGCAGCTTATAGATCTTCCCCAAAACTAGGTTTGCCGTAACTATTTTTCAGTAGAAATTATGGCCTTAGTAAGGCAGCCCCACTGCTGTGTTATTAAATGAGTATAATTACATTTCCCTAGCAGAAATAATAATGTATGACTGCAGCAGATTACAGATGCTCTTGTGTTTTAAATACAAAGGCTTTATTGTGAAACTACACTGCAGAATGTTACTGTCTTGACAGCCTGTCAAAGTAATTTTTTTTTCCTCCAGTAAATGGGCATCACTCAGATAGTGGCAGTGAAAAATATCCCACAGGATCTGTTAATACATCTCAAGCTTGCCCTGGAAAATGGATACTATATAGTTTATGCTAATACTGAATTGTTAATAGCTGTCACTCTTGAAGAGGTGGTTTCCGTATTAGCTTATTCCTCCCACTCCCTGTCGAGCAACAGTAAAAAAAGCAGTGTAAGTCAGACTGAAGGTGTACTAATATACAGCCACCAGAAGAAACTAGCTTTGGTCCTGTCTAATGTGGACTGGATTAACATGGGGGGAGGGGGGGGGAGAAAAACAACCGTTTTCTGGCATTGTCTGAGCTAAATAGAAGCACACACATATACTTTATTCCAATTTTACAGCTATCTGTAGAGTCCCTTGCTTTAGGCAATGTACAAATGTTTTGTACAAATGTGAAGCTTTCAGAACTCTTTAGGAATGCAGCTGTACTCCTACCCTTAAAAACACAAGAACAAGTAGTAACAAGCAGAGTTTTACATTCTTGTTCAGTCTTGTAATGCTGCAACATGATCCAGAACACAATCTAGTTCAGGACTGAAGCAGAGCTTCCTTTGATAGTGAGAATTAGTTTGAAATGTAAATGACACAGATTATTGTATCTGGTAGGCATTACTTTAAAAAATATATTCTTTGGGAGTATGAAGAATCGACTAGACAAAAAGGATTCATCATAAAATACCTGGACAGGATATTTTACATTATCATTTGGAAACATTAGTTTAATGACAAATTATTTGTGCTGCATGAAGCAACACCTATTCCAGTGGTGTTATTTTGCATTCTGTTACACATCCTTTTACACTGATTAAATTCCAGCTCATACCAGTGAAGACACACTAAATCAGACCCTACAAATGCCTTCAGGAACTGTTTATTTCAGTAGTTGAGAACCTGATGTCAGTATAAGCAACAATATGCAATGAATTCTGACACCACTTGCTTATGAGATTTTGACACTGAAAGCTTAACCAAGCCTGTACTTCCTAGATAAAAATCTACTTCTTCTCAGTAAAGGCATTCTATAAAATAAAACATCTTATGGTGGAAGTAATATTTTGACTTTTTCTATATTACCATAATATTAAAGATAGATAAATAGATTCTAGTGTGATCATAATGAGTTATATACTTGCATTTGAATGTATCTCAAATCTTTACTTTTCCTTCCTTTCAGATCCACCTAATTCTCTACACAGCTCCCAAGGTCCCGTGACCAATCAGATTAACGAAGGCCTGTTTGCTGCCTCTCCTGAAAACCAGCCTGTGGAGAGCTGCGAGACCTCATTTATATCTCCTGATAATCTGGAAAGAAAACTTCAGCAAGAACACAACTACCATATGTTTGGGCGTTGGATGGATAAAGCAGCTTCACCTGGAATATACACTCCTGAAATGAGAGAGGAAGAAAAGAAGCGAAGAGTTTCCTATGATCCATTTGCAAAGTCATCCTCTACTCCCCTGTATCCAAGAGATGAAAAAACAGGTTTTAACACTAATCTGTATTTGTGGCCACAGCCAGGTGCAACAACTACAAAACACAGGAATGCTGATAATTTTTACGGGACAGACCCTAACAGTCTTCTAGCAGGAAACACCGAAGGTCTCTATGGATCAAGTTCAGCCAGTACCTTTAACCCAAGTAAACCTCCTGTACCTGAATCTGGCCCAAACCTACTGTCACAGACCAATGTAAACTGGTATCCAAAGAGCACAGACACAGATACAGGTGAGATTCCTCCTACCCTAACATGTATATTCCTGGGAGAGACACTTGTTCTCTAAAAATGAAGTGGCCAGGAGTGTTTTGTAGTTGATGTAACAACAACCCGCATATTGCTAGCATCTGTGATGCAGCAAAGGTGAATTTATTTCATGAAGTTCTCTTTTTCGAGTTGAAGATAATTCAGGTCACTAAAACACTCTAGCTTTGACTTTATTATGCTGCTTTCACTATTTTTGGGCTCTTAACTTCAAGTGGACCATTTTAAAGCATCAATATAATAGAGGATCATCAGACCCAAAGCCTAACTCTTCAGCTACCAAACAAGTGATAGCAGACAGCAGATACTGCTACTGCAGCTGCCAAAACCAAGAGCTGCTATCAATTATTCTAGGAAAGCAAGGGAAAACTTTTTGAATCTCAGAAATGTAACAGTCATACCACAGGTTCTGGTTGTGCAGAAACATGTGCGGCACTTCAGAAAGTAGACGGGTATTTTTATCTTGATTTGCAGCAAGATAAGAGGCTCCTGAGCTCAGGAAGCCAACGTAGAGCTAAGGCTCATAATGGATTTCTCCAGAGCACCCTGCCTGGTGCTGATGGGCAGGTTCTGCCAGCATTTGCTAGTGAGCTGCAGAATAGAAATATGGAGACAAAGAAAGAAGAGAGCACTGAGCGTTGGCAAGAAGTATAAATGAATGGTAACTAGATGTCTATAAAATGTAACTTTTGATAACTAAAGTTAGCATGATATATGTTAGCCTACTGCTTCTAAGTATTGTTGCATTCTTTTCCAGATTGTCTCACAAGAAAATCATGGATGCTTAGCTGTTTTCAGGCACAGCACTACAAATGTGTTATTCTGTTAAATTATTTATGCAGAGGCTGTGATGAGTTGTTTATGTGAGTTTATTTACTGGAATGAATCTGAGAGCTGTCATGTCAGAAGGCAAATATTAAAACTGTCAACATGACTAATAAAGTAAAATCTTCTGTTTGAAAGAAAAAACCCTGAACAGTCAGTATAAGGAGGCTGTGTGCAATAATGTGGCAGATACCAGACTGAGATGCAGAAGAGCTCCATTTCAGCTTTTCCATTGACTTCTCAGTCACTCTTACTGCCCCGTCATGAATTGCAGAGCTCACCTGTGGGCAACCAAATCGATTACTGCCTTGGGCAGGAAGTTACATCTCTGTCAGATGTTACAGATGCCAGCAGAAGATGCCTTGTTGTCCCATGTCTTTGCTAGAGCCAGTCACAAGCAACTTGCTAATAACAAACCACA